TAACAGGCTCTAGCCATCTTTTGATTCCCCTTCAGCACTCCTACCCCCTGAGGAGTTGGGAATTTCATGCAGAGATGGGGTTGCGAGATGACAGCCTTCAGCTCGCACAGGGTGGCTCTTCCTAATATAGCATTGAAAGCTGATTCCATCTTAACGACCAGGAAGGTGACGGAAGCCATCCTGAAGCGTGGTTCTGAGCCCACATATATAGGAAGAGTGATAACTCCCTCGACTGGGACGGGTTGGTTATCAAACCCGTATATTGGCCCTTCGTGCTTCTGCAGCGAGCTCGGATTTAGCTGCATCTTCTGGAAGCAACTCCAGTACAGGATATCTGGCGAACTGCCAGTGTCAATAAACACCTTATTGACATTATGATTGCCTATATGAACTGTTGCCACAAAGGGATCGGCATGGGGCATCATAATGTCAGGCTCTCCTTCTGCTCGCTTGTAATCTGCCGGGCTGAATGTGATAGGTGTATTCTCCCATTCTGCTTCCTCAAATGGCTGCTTCAAGGATCTATTTTTGTTGACAGTCATCACCTGTCGGGCGTATGCCTTGCGAGCTCGGGCGCTTTGGCCCCCAGAGTGAACACCACCTGATATCATGTTTATTGTACCCGAGGGCGGGGGTATCCCAGCATAGCCTACCCCCTTCTTATCTTTTTGGTTCTGGGCAGCAGCTCTCTGTACCTGTCCTCTCCTGTTGAACGGACGCCCTCTGTATGCTCTCCCTTGATAAGGAGGATACTGGCTATCCTGATATACATTCTGCGCCTCGCCGAGCTGGTACCTCTGCCTTTGAGGTCGGTCATAACCCTGTACAAAATGAGTTTGAGTGGGTTGCTGGGCGTGGGGCTTCTGACCATATTCTTCTAGCCTTCCATTGCGAGCCAGAAACTCCAGCTCGTCCTTCAAGTGTTGGCAGTCTTCGGTATTGTGGCCATACACACGATGGTAGTCGCAATGTTTGATCTTATCTGCTCTTGGGGAATCATGCAATGGAGGTAGGGGTCTCCTAACCCAGTGCTGGATTTGCGCAAAGATTTGAGACCTTGGCAGGGTTAAAGGAATGTAGTTGGCATACTTTGGGAAGTCAACGGGCTTCCCCCACTGCTCGTCGACTTTCTGTTTCTTCTTTTCTTCCCTTCTCAGTGGCTGTTCCTGGCTTTTGCTTTGCTTATCGTCAGCTCACCGCTTGGACGACTGGAAGTCTTCTGATAATATGAAGCTAGCCGACCTGTCATTCACTTCATTCCAAGTCCTGGGTGGGTTCTCTAGCAGGTCGTCTAGAAACCGACCATGCTTCAACCCATGCAACAATGCAGACAGACAGATGGTGTCTGGGACGTTGTCAATGTCCAGGGTGGCTTTGTTGAATCGCTGCATGTAGTCTCTCAGAGATTCCCCTTCCCTTTGATTAACTTGCATCAGCTCGGTGGCTGTGCGTTTGATCTCTCTCTGGCTCGCAAATTTGTTGGAGAATAGCTTGGCGAGCTGAGAGTATGAGTCTATAGAATGTCTGGGGAGTTTGTGATACCATCTTTTGGCTGTTGATTTCAGTGTCGCTGGGAACACTTTGCACATCATGGCATCATTGGCATTTTGAATCCTCATGATGGCTTGATAGGTATGCAGATGTTCATCTGGGTCACCCGAGCCATCATATGTCTCTAGGTGGGGAATCTTGAATCCCTCTTGATATGGTTCTGCTGTGATGGATAAGTTCAATGGAGCACTATCCAAATCAAGGGTTTGTTGGTGCGACCTAGGACTTTTCAGCTCGTCGATGGACTTCTGTACGTCCCGCAGCTGCCTTTCAAGGTCTGCGTTTTTTCTCATCAATTCTTCACTATGTTTGGACGAGCTGAGTTCGTTATTCAACTTCCCACTTCCCCTTGGCCTGGTCGGCACCACTACGTTACTTAGAGCAGGGGAGTTTCGAGTTGCAACCACTGTAGCTAGTTGTGCATCCTTGTTTAACAGAGGAATCAGGGGGTCATCCGGAATCAGGCAGGCAAGGATTTTACCCATTGCCATTTCCAAGATTCTGGTTCTCTCTTCGAGCTTGGTAGTCTGAGCAGGTTCCGTTGACCTTTCAAGTCGTTCACGCTGTGAATTGTACGGTCTAGAAGGTCTTGACCTTGTTCCTGTTGGAACTTGGAACTGTTCAGGCTGGGTTGCATACCCCGTTGGTGTTCTTTCATCATCATCTGTTTCACTTAGGTGATCCTGTTCGGCTCCCCCTACAAAAAGATTTCTTGGCATTGGCCTAAAGTCATTCAAGCCGGGCTCAGATACGTGAGTGTCCTCCTGTTCGTCCATTTCATTTCTTGGAGGGCGGCCTCCTGTAAAGGTACGGACCATTTTGTCTTTCAGCAGGTTAAGTCACACAACTTCTTGTTCGAGTTCCCACAGACAGCGCCAAATGTTTGGGCAGCTTCGCAGTCCAACACTGTTGAAGTCCTTAGCTGCTTCCACACCTGAAAATCCCGAGGTTGTTTTATCGGGGAAAACACTCCGACGCTCAAGTCAGCAATACTCAATATTCTAGAGAGAGATGCTCTCAAGGAGTAATTGCAGAGAGAGAAGCGTAGAGATTAATTACCTTCATCGGAGGTAGTTGGGGGGTATTTATAGCCCCTTGGTGCTAACATACATTTGCACGTGTGAGCACCCCATTGGCCCACGTGGCGCTGGTCACGTGAGTATGTTTGTACTGATGCTCCTTCAGCTTGGGCTAATAGGTGGTAACCTAGGCCCGTTATACACAGGGCTGTTGGGCCTATTCCAACAGTATTGAGTAAAAATGGAACCCATTTTGGGTTCAAGAATGAGAAAGAATTTTTCATCGGCCAAAAATTCTTAATGGAAAATTCTTAAGAGAGATCCCCATTCCCGCAACTGATGAATAGAGGGATTAGTGGGCTTTCCTCATCCTCGCGGACCTGCGGTCATCTCTGAAAATTCGAACATTGTACATAAAAATAAATTAAGTCATAAATCATATTTTAAATATTTTAAGGAATAAAAGCATGAAATGAACCGAAAATGAGTACACAACACATATTTAAAAAAACAAAGAAAAGAAAAGAAAAGAAACGAGTACTAACCTTAAATTCTGAATAAGATATTTTGCAGTGTAAGATTCCACAAAATGTTCTACCATTGACTTTGGAGTGGCGAAGAGATTAATTTTCTAATAAATTTACAAAAACACGAATTTGAGAAGAGTGGGATTTTGGGTATGAAGAATAAAACTTTTGTTTGGAAAAAGTTGATAAAGAGAGAGAAAAGACAAAAAGAAGTGGCTTTGATGCACCGAATGGAACTCCACTGGGATGAGACCAAGAGTGACGTACGTTTGGTGGTATAGCGAGGCGCTTTTTTCTTTCAAAAAAAAAAGAAAAAGAAAAAGAGGAGGTCCCTTTTCTCATTGGAGAGGGAATTATTGCTTCTTCTTGGATGCTAAAACAGGTCAATGCCCAAATGGTCCCCTACAAATCCTGCATCAACGTCCTAACTTGAAATTTGCTCCTAAGTTATTTTTACTCCTTGATTATGTTTACCTTTTTAATCAACAATTTTTTAGTACATTTCATGATCAACTATCTTATTTCTTAAATTTTTCTTACAATATTTGAATTGGAGGGACATAAAGCTAAAAGATGAATATTTTAACTAATTAAATTATAACTTTTTAAATATTATAATTTGATTGATAAAAAAAATCCATCCCTCTCTTCCTTAACTCTCCTCTCTTTTGTGTTTCCCTCAAATTAAACATAATGTTACTCAAGACGTCAACCATATTCAAATTTGAGATTCAAGCTATGATTGGCCTCTCACATACTTTTTTACATATCACTTTATCTAAAAATATAAATTTATTATTTTTAATTAAAATTTAATTTACTTTTAATATTTTTTTCCTAATTTTAATTAATAATTTTTATATATTTTTGAAATAATTAAAAAAAAGAACCCTATTATTACAATATAATGCAGCACAATCCTAACAAAGGAAGTTTTAGACTTTCAGTGGATGAGTAAGAAGGCTTTAAAAACTTAGTAATAATTCTCCATATTATATAATCAACGTATAGCTAATCAAAATATATAAGATTTATTTATGAGTAGATCCTTACAATATATATATAATCAACATATAAACTCTTGCTGGATCCAATTTTCATCATCATATATAAATTAGATTTTTTTTTTAGCTTTTAAAAATCTGTAAAAACTAAAATCAAGTCACATGTAGATTTCTAGAAGCTACCTTTGTTTTTTAAATAAAAATTGTTTTCATTTAACCTTTTCTTCTCTTGGTTTGGGCGGTCAAAATATTTCGGAATTAGTTTTTTGGTACTCTAAAATTAATTTTTTTTAAATAATTTTAAAAGTATGCTTTTACATTAGTGTAATATATTTAACATAAAATTAATTTTCCTATATGCTAACCTCAAAATTTAAATTTTGAGCTTAACTAGTAAAATAGCACAATAAATTCAATTTTTAAGTTAAAAAGATCTACCAACTTTCTAATTAACTTCTAAAGATGTAAAAGGTGAAACCTTGAGCGTGTAGATTTTAAAGCAGAGAAATTCAAATTTGATTATCAAAATTTTAAATTTCTATGAATTTTCATTAATTCATAATTCGATGGTTGCTATTTATCATGTTATTTGTAATTAAATGTTCTAATATTTTTAATTTCAAGTATTTTAAATTTTAAATTCTATTATAAAAT